TTCATTTTATTATTTTTTTAATTGCACTTTAGGTTCTGCGATCCACCTCTGTCCCTCCTCTTAGGATATCAGGATCCAGGTGACGGATAAAAGCACCTTCTAGCTCCAGTGGCAGTGACCACTCTGGCTTCTGAGGGTCTCTGGAACACTGTGTTCATGGATGCCATCCACCCTCAAGAGTAACCTCCCTAGCTGACCAAGGTGACCTGAGCTCAGGAAAGAGTCATTGCTGCTGGGGCTTTAACCTGCACGGGGAGCACAGAGGCCTCAAAGAGGAAGCCAGAAACAGCAAGGTGGAGGCCCTCACCTCCCATTGGAGGTCTCGGGTCATTCCCCCAAGAGAGCCCTGCCCCAGCGCTTACCAGACTGTGCCTTGAGAGAGGGGCTTGGGTGAGGGTACAGCCACATGGCAGGGTGGGAGGGAGGACACAAGGAAAGAGACCCATGCTTACTAAGACAGATCTGGCTTTGAATATTATTATGCCATTTAGTAGCTCTTTTTAAAATCTCTGAACCCTTCTGAGCCTTAATTTCCTCATCTGTAAAATGGGCATGAAATGTTCTGCTCTGTGGAATGGTTGTGAGGACATGATGAGATAAGATAGGTGAAAGCGGCAAGCAAATAGCTGGGGCCCCCTTCCTTCTGTACCAAGTAGCTGGGAGGCAACCACTACATCTTATTCAGTCAGCTCAGGTCCTTATTTATGTTATTCATTTCTTTTTTATTCCTTCTTTTTTTTAGGGGCTTTCTGGCAAAAACTGGAAAGCCTGCTAGACAAATTCTAAAAGAGCTGTAACACTTGTCTTATTCATTTCTGTGGGGATAAAATCACCTATGTTTCAGGGAGAGTATGAGGTTTCAGTGAGATAACAGATCAAATTGTGTTACTGGACCAAAATAGGCAGTCCATAGGTGTTTGTCAGTTACCTAAAAGGATGAAGGAATGGATGGATGGATGGATGGATGGATGGATGGATGGATGGATGGATGGTTAAAGGGATGGTTGTATGGATAGATGGTTAGAAGGATGGATGGAGGGAGGGATGAATGATTAAAGGGATAGATGGATGGATAGAGGAATGGTGGGATGGAGGGATGGATAGGTGGGTAGATGAATGGGTATGTGGGAGGATGGCTTGCTGGCAGAATGTCAAAAGGAATAGGATTTTTTCTACAGAAATATCAAGTCTGCACAAAAACCAGGTGCTTTACAGGAAGGTCTTATTATATCTCTTTGCAACCTTAGGTCTTGAGCACAGATATAACATATGAGTAAAAACAGGCATTAACACACCCAGGTCTAATCAACTGTGACCTCCACTTACCACTCTGGGGTCTATGACTTATCTCAGAGAGGCCAGGTCTTACATAGCCAGCATTCACCAACTGAGATCACTGGTGGTTCCCTGCGGGGAAAGCTGAGATTGGGGCAAATGCAAAGTGAGGCTTTCCTGATACACAGGGTGCCTTGGAAATTCTAATCAGTGATGTTTCATCAAAAGAATTACAACTCAACTCTTCCCATAATCCCTGTCACTGTTGCAAGAATGGAGAGGTGCAGGTGAGCAGCCAGCCCTGCATCCGCCGCAGCTCCACACCGTGTGACCTCCACAATCACTTAGCCCCTCTGAGCCCCATGATCTCCTCAGTAAGATGAAGGGTTTGGACCCTTTCAGCTCCATGATGTTCTGATTCTCTGAAAACTCTCCATGTCTTCCTTTAAAATATGGACCTAGAACTTTGGAAGAACGTGTATGACATTTCTTTTCCATCTGTCTCTATAGGGTCTCCTCAAATCCTTTCAAAATATTTGCACGTATATGTCAACATGTCTGTTTATGCTAAGCCCTGGGGAGGCTATACGCTTTGAAGACAGACAGATCTCAATTCCAGGCCGTGTGAGAAACTGGAGACAGATTATTAAGATTCAGTTCCTGCCCCCCAAGATGGGAAAGACAGGCATTGAAATGGGTTAACGTCAATGGTCACAGTAATTAAGGTATAAAAATGTTGGACTCTCCCACTCCCAAAATGCTGTCTGGAGGAATTCAGAAGGCTGCTTATTGGAGTATTCTGGGATATGTGAAAAAGAAGAGAAGCGCTGGGTACAGTGACCCATTCCTGCAGTCCCAGCTACTGGGGAGGCTGAGGTAGGAGGATCACTTGAGGCCAGGAGTTTGATCCTGCAGTATGCAAGAGTCGTGTCTGTGAATAGCCATTCTATGCCAACCTGGGCGATATAGCAAGACCCCACCTTCAGAAAAAAGTTTAGAAAAAAAGAGAAGAGACAGAGGATACAGGAGGAGTAAAGGTGGCTGTATTGGAGTGGTGAGGAGATCGACAAGGCTGTAGCGTGAGCTACAACCTACGGTACTCCTCCCACCCCCTAATCCTTATGAGAGCATGGTCTATGTGTTGAGGCAACATTCTGGGAGAAGTAAGGAGGTAATCACAAGTCACCGTCTCAGAACTGTCAGTTACTCTTTTTTTTTTCCAATTAGAGACAGGGTCTCGCTATGTTGCCTAGGCTGGTTTCAAACTCCTGAGCTCAAGCAATCCTCCTGCCTTGGCCTCCCAAAGTGCTGGGATTATAGGCACGGGCCCAGAGTTATTCTTTATTGAGACCCTGTGCACTTTACACACATCACAGTAGAGTTTCCTGAAGTGCTACACAAGTCACTAAGACATGTCAAGTGACTTTAGACAGAACACAGAAAAACTTTTTTTTCTTTGAGACAGAGTCTTATTCTGTCACCCAGGTCAGAATGCAGTGTGGCATGATGATCACAACTCACTGCAACCTCGACCTCCTGGCTCAAGCAATCCTCCCACTTCAGCCTCCCGAGTAGCTGGAACTACACATACACATCACCATGGCTGGCTACTTTTAAATTTTTTTTTTCTTTTTTTGGCAGGGTCTTGCTTTGACGCCCAGGCTGGAGGGCAGTGGCACAATCTTGGCTCGCTGCAACCTCTGACCCGCGGGTTCAAGCGATTCTCCTGTCTCAGTCTCCCAAGTAGCTGGGATTACAGGCACCTACCACCATACCCAGCTAATGTTTGGGTTTTTTGGTAGATACAGGGTTTGGTCATGTTGGCCAGACTGGTCTTGAACTCCTGACCTCAAATAATCCACTCTCCTTGGCTTCCCAAAGTGCTGGGATTACAGGCGTAAACCACCACACCCATAAATTTTTGGTGGAGACAGTATTTTGCTATGTTTGCCAGGCTGTTCTCAAACTCCTGGGCTCAAGCAGTCTGCGCCCCTCAGCCTCCCAAAATTCTGGGATTACAGCCATGCACCACCACACACAGCCGAGAAACATTTTCATAGTTACGATTTTATGTTTTTGTCTACCTTCTATTTGTGACAGGTAGTATTAGTTTTCATTTATAATTATCTTATAATGTTTTCTTTCCAATAAATGTAAGCTTTTAAAAATGACTTAAAGAAAAAGCATTTATTAAGTAAACATACAGTTGGTACATGGATATTGCAAAAATTTCAAGGGTACACAAAGACTGAAATTCAGGAGACAACGGGGTGAGCACAGAAGCACTGTTCTTGTTCAGAGTTCTTTTGGCTGTGAGTCATAGTCACTCAATCAAATCAGCTTCAGCAAACTAAGAGAATATATCCTGACAAGGGACTCTCACAGGGCCCAAAGGAAACAGTGCTGGGTCCCTGGAGGGTGGAAGGAGGCCAGCAGGTCCCTGGAGATGGTAGGTACCCCATTGCTCTCCAGGCGCCTGTGATTCCCCTGGTCTCTGCCTTGCTATGCGTATCTTTTCTCTGAGCAGAGCCATTTTCTCTACTACATTCATGCAGGTGGCCATCCCCCCAACACACACAGACAAACACACACACACACAGACACAGTCACAGCTCCAGAGCTTCTATGTTTTCAGGTAAGGGACCTGCAAATCCTGAACAGCATTCCTGCTCTAGATGCCCACCTTGCATCCTTTCTGCTCCCATCAGAGGATCAAGGGGCCGAAATTCTCAGGAAAGGGGGAGGGTCTAGGATAAGCAGTCACCCTGACCAAGAGGTGTCTGCCTCAACATTGACCGCTCATAACAATCCCATGAGGTAGCTTTAACCTCATAGGTAACAACCCTAAGAGGTAGGAAATTCAGCGCCTGGTCTCTCAGCAGGAAATGACACAACCAAGACTTGAGCCAGGCCTGTGTGACACTGAAGCTCAAGTGTGCTGCACTAGCCACCCGATCACATCATCAGCCAAGTCCATCCCACAGCTACTGTCACAGACTTCAGCTGGTTACTGGCCCACCGGGAGACATTTCTCAAAATCCACAATTGGCATTTGCCAGATACACAGGAAGCGAGTAACCCAGCTTCACAGGGACACCGACTGGAAGGAAGGAAGACCTCTGAAAGAGCACAGCGCTCTGCAAACCAGAGACATTTCCTCTGAGCCCCTTGGGTCTGAGGCTGCCAGATTGACACTGCAGGCACTTGTCTCAGGGCAGGAGAGGAGGCTTATTTGCATATACTTGCCAAAAATCACAAGCAGAGATCTAGAGATCCTCAAGAGAAACTGACACCTGGCTGACAATCTGCTGACAGTAACTGCTCCTCCCACCTCGTGGAAGCTGTTTTAGGAGGAGCCTCCCAGAGGGCAAGGAAGGGGAGAGGAACCGACACACTCTTCCACCCAGGGCCCTCATGCGCTTCCCAGCCCACGAGCCTGTTCACATGGAAACCCGTGGACATCGAGGTGTCCTGGCCTGGACAGCCCCAATTTTGCTTCTTTTTTTTTTTTTTTTT